ACCTCGGCACTAGATGGAAGTGTAGTGGGCAGCTTCATGCCACTTTATCTCGGGGAAAACAGCATGGTAACCATAGCATAGGAGGCTGGGTGGGGCCCAGAGCCGGTATGGACGCTGTGGAGGACAGTACTGCCCCAGCCGGAAATTGAACCTCGGCCCATGCAGCCCGTAGCTGCGAAGATGCCGAATTTGTTCATCCCGAAGCTCAGAAGAGGTGATATTCTAGTGCAGGCGTGTCCAGCTTCAAATAGGTTGTGATCGACTTTTAAGTGACAAAACTGCCAGTGATCTACCACCCCTTCCTATCGTCGTACCTCGCTTTAAACAAAAGTATTAGTAAAAATAACACGACACATGATGTTGTAAAAGCAAAATACATTTAAAGTACAGACTTACCTTGTTCGTTAAGGACAGAAAAATACGAATGATTAATACGTATTTTCCCTTCAAAATCTGAATATAATCATATTATATTACAAATGAATTTACATGCTTTTCACGTATAATTTCCTCATAGGCTTATGAGATCGACAAAAATCGCTCCGCGATCGAAGCCTGCTCTAGTATGAGCGTTGGGTGGTGACTGATGACGATTAATCATAAAAAGGAAAGCATGTAACGAAACGTCCGTTATCATTGCGCAAATAGGAGTATAATACTAAAATGGTTCTAGTAGGAGAAGAATGTGAGTGTGTGGACTTGATTGAATACGGTACCCGGCTCTTGTAAACAGTTCGGACTCCACAAAAGTCAGTGAATTTCGAGACAGGCTGTGCTATTACTGGCTTCACGGGAACTCTGAAAACAGTTCGGACTCCACAAAAAACAGGGAATTTCGAGACAAGCTGTGATACTATTGGCTTCATGGGAACTCTGTAAACAGTTCGGACTCCACAAGAGACAGGGAATTTCGAGACCAGCTGTGCTACTATTGGCTTCACGAGAACTCTGCTACATGTAGTTACGAGACAGCAAGGAGTCTGAGTCATTAATTATAGATGTTCGGATCGGAGTGTTAGGAAGGCAAAGCGCAAATGGGTTTTGTATGCCTGCTGCTGGAACTGTAAACAGAACTTTACAATACGAAGGTCTCAGAACAGCGACCGGGAAAATGTATGTATTGGTTACGTTGATCAAATAAATTTGGATAATGTAGGCGGGGCATGTGACGCGTATGGGAGGCGACAAATGTGTAGAATGTTACGAGATAAAAGGTAAAGTTATCCCTGTAACAGGCCGTGAAGGCCCACAGGGTTCTGATACATCGAGGCTGCCACATTTTCTAGACAATCGGATAACAGATGGCAGTGAGGCAGCCTTACCCGCCTGCCGCCCTTCACTGCCAGGAAGATTCCTGGTACTCAGTTCTGTTAGAGGCTGAGTCGACCACAGGGCCATACTGCGGCTGGAATAATTAGGTAAATTAAGAAGAATCCACCTCATCGAGACTCGAACCCGCGACCTTTCTGCTTGTAAAAACCAACTACGCTACTGCGTGCCCCCAGAATGTTACATGATGTGGGTTAAACTACATTTGACTTAGGGTAGTCTAGTGAATATCACGGCGCAACTTCGGATTCCGTAAAACCGGGCGAATTTTTCGACCGTCTGAGATTTTCAAGAAAATTGCGAGTGCCTACATCAAGCTCGTCATCTCCCATATTTTGAATCTGATCATAAGCGCGGTGTTTCCGAAGTTTTCTAAGTCGTCCCTCAAGCGGCAACTGTCAGGTGGACCGTTACCGACGTTTCGGAGGAACATAAAACCTCTATATTAAGTCTTGAAACGTGGTAGGGATAGTCCTGTAGTGAGAGGGAGCACCGCCATTTTTGCCCCAATATAACAAGTAGGTATAAGGATAACCTCATTTCTGATATTTGTTGATCCATAGTCTTTATTTGCATTTATACTCTTCGCCAAATATTATTACGAATGATCAAGTTAAGGACGACTTGATGGGAAGGCGATGCAGCACGCATGTATCAGAAGAAAAATGCACATAGGATTTTGTGGGAAAGATTGCTACTAATCAGCCCAGAATCTTTGTCTTTACGTCTGCTGTCCAAAAATATCAAAATTAGAATATACAAAAGTATAATTTTGCCTATGGTTCTGTATGGGTGTGAAACTTGGGCTCTGATATTAATGGAGGAACGCGGACTGAGGGTGTTTGAGAGCAGGGTGTTGAGAAGAATATTTGGGCCGAAGAGGGATGAAGTGACAGGAGGTTGGAATAAACTGCATAATGAGGAGCTTCATAACTTCTAGTCTTCTCCAAGTGTAATTAGAATGATCAAGTCAAGGAGGACGAGATGGGAAGGGTGTGTAGAACGCATCGATGAAAAAATGCGAGGGAAAGCCAGAAAGAAGCAGATCAGTAGGAACACAGGTGTAGATGGGGGATGATATTAAAATGGATCTTAGGTAGGATGAGTGTTATGCCGCAAATTTCGAGAATGGAAATTTGAGACATTGCCCTAATATTATGAGAATTGCAAAAGAGTTTCACATCGATTAGAGCAAGGATGGCAACACAGGCTGTGGAACTCGGTCAAGAATATCTTAGTCAGCAGAGGTGCGTAATCGCACAGCGGAAAACTCGCTTCAGTAGGCCACTGGGGAGAACGAAATTACCAAATACACAGGGATGAGAAACCGCGGATTCGTCCATGAGAAAAGAAGCTAACCAATAGAAGACCACTACCCTTAATTAGGATAAAAGGAGATAGCTTTCCTTTTGGGGAGCTGCTGCGTCCGCTCTTTTAGAGTATAAATGTTTTAGAAGAAAGTGTGAAAAGGGGAAGCTCTCTCTCGGTTTTTTTAGTTTTTTGTTGATCAGATGTAACATTTAGAAAAGTTTGCCGAAGACCCTGTTTCGGCATGGGTTCAACAAGATGGTGGTTGGTGGCAATCGTCTGCGTCTCTGCTTCACGTAAGTCAATTTGCTCATGCTAGCCATGTTACATAAAACTTTATTGTTGTTTGTTAAACCGTTGAAATGCAATCTCCAGTGTGTCCTGCGAGCATGAGGATAGGATAGGATAGAAACTGTGTAAGGAGTGGTAGGGAATGAAGGAAAAGAGACAGACTCAAGTGGGAGATCAGAATGGAAGTGATAACCAGTCAACGTAAAGATACTATGTCGACCCGACAGAACGTCGGCATTCTTATTACTGTAAATAGACCAGTGGAATTAGGGTAGGATGTAACACAGAGTTGTGATTTACCTCCACGAACAGAACTCTTCCCAGACCAATCCGGAGCTATCCTAGTCCAGACGAAGGCAGAACTGAGCAGCCAACAGCAGCCGTATGAAAAGAGACAGTTGAAGAGCGAGGAAAATCCTAGTTTAGGGTATCTAAATGACACTCCAGTCGTTCGGAGGGTGACAGTTACTGGGTAGAGGCGGATCAGAACTTCCAAGCCCGCTCTACGTCATTAGAAAGTGGTGGCAGCAGTGGGATTAGCCAACGAAGAGATGACCGACGAAGTAATTTAGTGTTTTTTTAACCACCCCTGTCATTACGGCATTACAATGGGTTCGTATGGACTGGATTTGCCTGACTTAGGATAGGGAACATTGGAAGGGGCTCTTGTGGATATGGTAATGAACGTTTCGGGTTCCATAAAATATTGGGGATTTGCTGAGTAGATGAGTGACTGGCGGTTCCTCAAGAAGGGCTCAGATCCATGGAATTAGTTCTTCCCCTGGAAAACGATCGTATTAAGGGCCAAATATTCTGTAGACAGATGGCCATCAATTGACTTACTGGGTGTCAGTATTGCCAGTTCAGGAATTTCTTTTCTACGTTGCAAGATGGAGTTGCTGTCTTCGAATGTTGATATATTTTGTCATTACTACCCGGTAAAAGGTGAAGTTATCCCTGTAACAGGCCGTCGAGGCCCATAGGCTTGTGAGACATCGAGGCTCCAACATTTTCTAGACATTCTACTCACAGATGTCGGTGAATTGAGCCTTACGCGCCTGGCGTCCTTTACCCCCCAGGAAGATTCCTGCTACTCATTTCTGTCAGCGACTCAGTCGACCCCAGGGCCATAGTGAAGCTGCAAAGATTACGTCTATTGAAAAAATCCAATGACCTAATCGGGACTTGAACCCGCGACTTTCCGGCTTGTGGCATAGTGCCTCAAGCAACTACGCTACGGCGTGCCGCCTTACTACGCGGTATGTGTAGTGTATTTAACGACGTTACATGGCATTTGTGGATGAGACTGAAAAATTAATTTAAATTGATCAGGAAGGATGCTGTCTGGTCTAACTTTAGGTGCGAACTCGCTTTTTGCCTGGAAGGAGTGAGCAAAACCAGGATAAATCTCAGTTGGGGTAGTCTTACCGGCCGAGATTCAAAATGAAAACCTCCTGAATCCAAGCCAGAAGCGTTACTGCTCGAGCCAGCTTGCTTGGTGCCGTGTCATAACCCAGACTACCCACTCACTCACGGAGCTGAGCCAGTTGTGCAGCAACTCAAGAACTTCCCAGCATTTTATGGAACCCGAAGGCTCAGCACCATGTTCACAAGAGCCCTTCACTGGTCCCTATCCTGAGCCACATCAATAGTTGTGCAGCAACTCAAGAACTTCCCAGCATTTTATGAAACCCGAAGGCTCAGCAGCATGTTCACAAGAGCCCTTCACTGGTCCCTATCCTGAGCCAGCTTACTTGGTACCGTGTCATAACCCTGACTACCCACTCACTCAAGGAGCTGGGCCAGTTGTACAGCAACTCAAGGACTTCCCAGCATTTTATGTAACTCGAAGGCTCAGCACCATGTTCACAAGAGCCATTCGCTGGTTCCTATCCTGAGCCACATCAATCCAATCGATACCATCCCATTCTATCTCCCTAAGATTCATTATACTTTTCACCCACTTACGCCTTCGTCTTCACAGTGATCTGTTTCCTTCTGGCTTTCCCACCAATATCCTATATGCATTCCTCTTCTCACACATCCGTGCTGAATGCCCTGTCCATCTCATACTCTCTAATTGTACTTGGAGAAGAGTACAAGTTTTGACTGCCACAGAATGGAAATAGAATCCTCACGCTGCGGAAGTTGAGCTTTTATGATTTGCGTGTGTACTGTCGAGACGGTACGTTCTTCCAATTACCTTATAATATTGTCAAGTGTTGGGTGTATGTCACGCGACAAATAACTTCACGCCGTCTTGAATATAACGAATTTATTCTACACTCGCTCTTGCACTCACACAGTTTACAATTACTTCTCCTGCTGCAGTCACTGCCATGCACTCAATACAACCCGACTCGGCGACTGCTAGATTCCAACTGACTGGTTGCTCTCTCTCTAGTGACTGGCTCAATACTCAGTAATCACTACTCTAGTAACTTCCGCATTGACAACACAGAAAACAATTACGTGATAGCTACCACTGCTGGGTAACGTCGTGCTTACAGGCGTTGCTGGGGAACGCTGCCGAGAGTTGTTTATTGCTGTATAGAAACCGCGGTGCCCGTTACGTCATAATGGGGAGTGATGTTACGTCACCGCGGTAGGCAACGGAGTGTTCACCGAGCCTTGGTAATAATGGAAGGGGTGGGGGTATGTGACGTCAGTCGCGAAACAGAGTTCACGTGACCCCTACTTCCCGTTGCGCCATCCACGTTACAATATCTTTCATCACTGGCGCTGTAAAAGTTGAGAAATGTTGCTGATGTCTTGCGCATTCCCAGTACCAATGCATCTGTAAGGACAAGAATTTCACATTGTGATGCCATAGAGGTGACGGAACTTGTGACTCTAAATCCTAACCCAAAGCATGCAATTATTTCTGGCAAAAGATAATTATTTCATTATAATAATAATAATATATAAGCACGGGACTGCAACCTTGCAAGTCTGAAGGTATCATAACTGTAATTCTGCATAACTTAGATTTAGGCTACGTGCAGGTATACTCGTATGTGCATCACATGATTACAAAAGGGTCAGGAAATNCGCCGACGATAGTTCTCAGTTCGCAAGTTACCAGTTACAGACGCGTGTGCGATAACTAAGAAGTCAGCGAGCGGAAGACTTATTGTGTGCTTTCGAGACTTAGTGAGTGTTGTAGTACAGTTATATCTGGAGTGTGTAATTCAGGGAGACTTGTATAGCTCCCGCGTTATTAATACGTGAAGACTCCTGAAGATAGTGTGAAAAGATTTGGTTGTAGGGTTTGTAAAGTGTGGAAACCCGTAACATTGTGATAAGAAATTGTAGCCGTTACTTGTAGATTGTTGAATAAACCAATTGACGATCTCCACGGCGTATTCAATAACGAAACACGTTACATTGGTGTCAGAAGTGGGATTTGAACTTGAACACGCCTCGACAAATAATTGAATTATTGTGAATCGAGTATCTTACTGCTACAACATGGACATGGGAAAGATGATGGAACGTCTGTTGTTCGCCCAGGAGCAAATGGCGGCCAGACAGAAAGGGATAGGGAGGAAGAGAGGAAAGAGAAGGAAGAAAGGAAGGCGGAGAAGGAGGAAATGCTGGCAAGAATGGACGCCAACATGAAAACCCATCAAGAAGATTCTGTAACAAAATTAGACGCCTACCAAAAAAAGGCGACGGCCGACAAGGTAGAATTGAAGGCCGAAATGCGATCTATACCGTCAGAGCTTGATGAGACACTCCAATATAAAATTGAAGCAGAGTCAAGATGGCGGCCATGAGAGACAAAAGGGCGAATACGAACCACAAGATGGTGTACGCGTTTAAATCTGAAGATGTATCAATGCCGATCACGCAAAAAGAGACGGTGGCCTGCCCAGAAAAGATGGAGGCACGTCAAGAAGAAAAGCCGGCCCCAGAGGAAACGAAACCTGCGACGGCACAAGAAGAGGTCCCCGAAATAATACCGGTCGGAGAGACGATGGCCTACCAAGAAACGGAGGGACGTCCAGAAGATGAAAAGCCGGCTTCAGTGCACAGGAAACCTTAGGCGGCAGATCTACGAGAGGTACCCATAGAAGACGCCGAAGTAATGCCGGTCAGAGAACCGAAGAAGAAAAGGCGTAGGGACCGAAACAAGCGACGAATTATGAAGAACCCGACGCGGGGAAATTGCGGGCCCCAGAATAAATTGGCCGTCGTCAGCAGGAAGGTGTCCCGCCATGCAAGAGTGTCATGGCGCCGCAGACACATCTTCAGGAAATCTTGGACCCGAGATCATGCGTCCCGGATAAAGTTGGCTGCCATCCGCAGGAAGACATCCCGTCGCACGACAGTGGCACGACGTTGGAGAAATGACTTCAAGAAGGAAACTCCCCAGGGAACCTTCGGATGCCGGAGAAAGGACTTGGAGCCTCGGTCCCGTAACAGCAAGCGGCTGGAAGACCAGGAGGAAGGACGACGTCAGCAAGTGCAAACAACGCATCCACGGCTGTTACGTCGACATACGGAACTTCTCATGGAAGACATAAACAAGGAACGGACACTGTGGAGGGGTCGACCCCCTCCAAAACGGAAAAAGAGACTTCAAGCAGAGGAGGAACCGGTAATGTAGAAGAACCGGCCTCCCCAGAGAGAGTGAATGTGCCATAGAATGAAAGTGATGGATGAATGGGACACAACTGGAACTTCTGGCGAGCTGAAAGGAAACCGCTCGAGACGAGTTGGTCCTAAGAAGGATTGTAACGGCCGGAGAACAGATGCTGCAAGAACAGCCTCCGAAGTAAAGGATCGGGGATGCACCGTTAGGCTATTCGGGACGAACAGCCTTAAGGAGGGAGCAGTGTGACATGTTGCGCAACGGAGGACCCCTACCTCCCCAGCGGAACGTGGCGGTAACGTAGCGCTCTCGTAATAGGCGAGTCATCACCCCGCCACTCTCCCCGCGGTGACGTG